CGCGGGCCCGAGTCTCCACCCACTGGAAAAATTCCTGGTCCGCCCCTCCCTCGATCCCTCCCTCCCACTGCAGCTCTGGCTAGGTTCGGCCCCGACTTCCTGCCCCGAGTTGGGGAGCGGAGTGCGGGCTAGGGTCCCCGGGGCCGCGACTGCAGCTGGCCGCGTCCTGGACGGCGGAGGGGCTGGCAGGGCCGGTAGCCTGCGCTCCTGGCGACGGCGACTTTCAAACTCGCGCCCGCGTTGCGGCGGCACTGTGAGCGCTGTGAGCGTCCGGAGCCGAGACGGCGACCGCTCGGTGAGTGTCCTTCGATTCTTCCTTCTCGTGCCTGTGTTCAGTCGGCTAAGTGGCTGTACCGAGTCATTCTGGGATCTCATCCCTCAGAGGTCCCCGTGCCTGCCCCAGCAGGGTGTGAACTCCGGGCGACCGGGAAGGGCCCTGGACTGTGTTGGGACTCCTGTCTAGGCGACCTCCCGGCAGAGGGTTGGAGCGTAGAAGGGTTATGCAAGGAGATATTTTCTGTCCTTTTTACCCCCACCCCGGAAACAAAAGGAGCGAATGCGCGGGGCGACTCGGAGGAGGCTCAGTTTGAAATCCGGGAAGCCCGCGAGGCTGAGCCCGCCCGCTGGCTTTGCACGCCCGGGCGCCCGAGGACTGGTCCTTGCCTCGGACAGGGGTGCTGGCGGGTGGATCCTAATGGGGAAGGACCTAAGCCTCTGGTCCTGGGAGCTCTAGAGGCGCCCTCAGCCTGTTTCTGGTTGGGGCCACACGGTGCTTGCTCTTGGGAATCTCAGCTTCCTGGCCTGGAGGGATTAGAGGCGGTGCCAGAAACGAGGTGTCGGGAGCCGAAAGCAGCGAGGCCGCTGACTGCCACGCGCCTCGACCTCGCCCACTCCTGAAATCGGCTTGGTTATTTTCACTTCATTCTCAGCCCCCCTGATTTGGAAAGTTAGGGTAAGGCGTGCAAGCTGGAAGTTTTCTAGACGATGTTTAGGTAGCTACTTTTTCTCTGTGGCGCTACGCTTTTGAAAACAAAAGGTAGATCAGAGGGGGAAACGAAATGGTTGAAGGTCGGAGAAGCGTGGCTGGTGCGCGCGCCGGAATGGGGGTGGGGGGGACGGTGTTAGAAGCGGCCTAAGAGTTTCATCAGCGAGGTCACTTGCTAAACTGTTGGCAAATGCAAGACACCTGTCCTGCTCCAAGGGCCGCCAGCAGGCGACCAGACTGCATCACCTTACAGGGAACGCCGGACTGGGGGTTCCGAGCCCCCCCAGCCGTGCCTCTGCTTGTAGGCCAATCACACGGTCCTTGCTCAAGAAATAATAAGCAGTGAGAGTAATGACAGTCCAGAGAGAGGGGGAGGGGACTCTCCGCGGCGCTGCCTGGCCTTGGGGAAAGCGCCTTTCCTGCCCCTCCTTTGCTAGAGTAGGAGTGGATCCCGAGCAGCGAAACCCCTGCGTCCCCGACAGGAAACCTAGGGACCCAGAAACAGTACCTTCCTCTCAGCTGTTCAGCCCTAGCCCCTGGCTGGGACGGCCTCCTTTCCTTTTGGTAACACTGGTGGCCTCTGCTGTCCTCTGCCTCCACTCTCTTTCTGGAAGGTTAGGCAACTCCTTGGCCCCCTGAAGAATATCTTGCTGGGGATGGGGCAGGGAGGTGGGGAGGAGGTAAACCTGGAGGCCAAATGCTAGTTTTCCCGGTGTGATTTCAGAGCCGCTGTGGGGCTTTTCTGCTGCCTGTTAATGAAAAGCCTAGCAGGGAGAGTGAGAAGACCACTGGACCTGGAGTCCAGCACAGGGTTTGGCAGTTTTCTTCCGGGCTGCACTGCCTGGCATCTCAGATCTTCAGAGTCCCTCTGGCTGCAAGGCCCCTCAGATTAGGGTGTGCAGTTGGCACTTCAAGGCAGCAGAGAGGTGAGGAGTTTCCAGCCTGCGTCCTTGTTGGCCCAATAGGGCCCAGAACTCACATTTCTACACGAATAAAGTGGGATTACTTACCTGCTCTTCCTCTTAGGGGCTAGATGGGGCTAAATAAAACCTTATGTTTGGTGAATACTCCATTAATTCCTGTACCAAATACAGGGTTCCCAGTGGCTAGGAGGGGGCCTTTGAGGGCTTTACAATTACTGGCTGTGTCCCATAAGGAGACAGATACCAGGAGCCGGTGGTGGAAGTTTACATCCCTGGCCTGTAACATCTCAGCTCCAGAGTAAACATTTGCCTTACCAAATCCACAGCTACCCCTGGGTCACAGTGTTTACACGGGAAGAGGCCAAAGGCCTTGGCCTGAGGATGACCAGGGCTGGAGGGGGAAAGGGAAAGGGGCCGTGATCCACATGTGTGGCTGGCCCTCCACACCCACCTCCCTCTTAGAACCTTGTGGAAGCTCTGGCCCTAAGCCCTGGAGGTTGCCAGAGCCCTGGCCCTGAGCCTTTGGGGGTTAAATGTGAAGCCATCTAGCCATTCTCTGTTGTGCTGGGGGTTGGGGCAACACCCTGGGCATGGAGGGTGTTGCCTTTGCAGCTGCACTGAGGGCTGGCTTCAGCTTCTCATCTGCGCCTTCTCCCTCCCATCCCAGGCTGCCCCACCAGCCCAGGCTGCTGCTCTGTCCTGCCTCTGGCCAGCTGCATGTCCACAGGCCTTTGTTCCAGGGCTGCAAACCCGCCCTACTCCACCCTCCCTCCCCAGCAGAAGCCCTTAGGCTGGGGCCCCTGGCAGCTGAATATCACTAAGGCCAGCAGGAAGGCTCCCCTGGAGCTCCCAGGGGACCTAGTAGACCCTCATTTCCTCTTGTCAGGCTAGTCCTGGGGCCCCCAACTCAACTCATCCCTGGCCTCATTGTCTTTTCTGATCTCCTTTCTTCCATGAATGAATGGATCATCCTATCCTCTTTTTCTTCCTAAAGGCAAGCTCTAGTTTAAAGTAGTCATTCCACAGTTGTTTACTTAGCACCTACTGTGTATGAATGCACATGTAAAGAAACAAATCTAACACTCGCTGAACCTCATGGAGCTCATTGCTAGTCTGGGAAGCTAACAATGAATGAAATCAGTTGCTGAAATACTGTAGAGAGCATGTTAGTGATAGGCAGAAAAATATAGGGAAGGTAGATGTGGTTGCCATGGAAGGGGTGAGGTGGCAGATTAGGTGGGGTAGCCTGGGGGTCCCTGAGAAAGGGACTATTGAGGTGTTGCATGGGAGGTGTTTTGCTGCATCTCTACTTTTCCTTTCTTGAAGCCAGCTCAGGCGGCCCATTATGACCTGTGGGAGTGGGGTCTGGACTTGGACACACCTGGGTTCTGATCCTGCCTTGACAGCTTGTGAGATGCTGAAGTCCTTTGAGCTTGGGTTTCTCACCTGGGAAGTGCATTTAGTCATCACACCCACTGCACGCAGCACTGTGAGAGTGAACAATGCAGTAACTTGTGTGCCATGCTTAGCAAAGTCTGTCGAGGCATCTCCTGAGTTATTTCCAAATTTTGCACGGTAGTACAAGATACTTATTGCCATTGCTAAGGATTCTAGAGGAAAGCTTTTCGGGCCAGCAGGTGGCATGGCGTTAAAGATGGCTGGATCCCACCTAGTCCACAGGGCAATTGGAATTTGGACCCTGCAGCCTGAAAATCACCCCGGGGCACAGATGTGATTAGGATTAGAATGGTTTCTCACGGTCCCGTTCCCTATCTCTCTTTCTCTGTCCCCTGGGAGTGCATACCCTATAGCAAACTTAAAAAAAAAAGAAAAGAAAAGAAAAGCTTTTCACTTCAAGTACTGTGCAGGCGGAGGAAATTAGAGAGCGATGCCGACAAAACCCTGTGAAGACTTTCTAGTTAGTGAGCCTGTTACCTACCTACTCTCTATTGCTGATGGTTGAGGATGTAGGACTCCCGGGCGCCGCCCCTCCAGGTGATAGGTGACCTGGGGCCACCCTGATGTCCCTCTCACTGGAATTCCCCCTGCCTCCAACCAGCTGTGATGAATCACACCTTGTCCCTGGCGGCTCCAGGCGGCTTCACAGCTGGGTAGGCTGTTCGCCCTTCCCCCAGCCTCCTGCAGCTAAATTATGCTGCGGGTGGGGAGAGCATGGGGTGGGGGAAGTGAGAGAGAGAGCCAGTGGTGGGTGGAGTTGGCCTCTGAGAGCCTACAGAGCTAGTCCGAGGATTGGCCTAGAGGGCTCACCGGGTAGCAGGATTTAAAGTAACAGAATGGCAGACTCCGTGAGCGCTCAGGGTTGGGCCTGCCCGGCTCCACGTGCATCCTTCCATCCAGCTCATCTGTGATGAGTCTCTCCCTCTCAGCTGGAACCACAGGCCTCAGAGGGGAAGGGGTGCCATTGCAAATGCTGCTGTCAAAATTTGCGGTGAGTGGCTTCCTGGGGCCCTGCCCTGGCTCAGGAAGTGAGGGATGGGCGGTGCAGGGTGAGGCCCAGGGAAACGGTCATCTGCCAGACCACTCCCCCAAGGGCCCCTGCTGTGTGCTAAGGCAGGTCCTGTGATGAAGGAACTTTCCAGGCCTGCTGGTGCAAGCCTGGAGACTGTAAAATTCGACCTAATCTGGCCTCAGAGGAATTTGCATAGAGACCTGGCACAGCCCCAAGCATGTTTATGATGTCAGGTGACCTCAAGTCAGGAGAAAGGAAATGGGGCAGGTGGACTAACCTGTGATCTGCAGGAGTCCCACTGGAGACCTGGCAGCCCCTCTGGCTTCAATCCTCCGGGGGAAAAATAGCTGACCTTGCTCACTGGGTCTGGCTCAAGTGTCTTTGTTTTGAGCTCTCTGAAGGCAGGAATGGTGCTTGGCTTATCTGTGTTCCCACATAGCATCAATAACAGTACAGAGTGCTCCAGGGTGGGAGGGGCTTGTGCGAGGCTTCCACCCCAGAGTAATCTGGGCTTGGTGGTCTCTGCATGTGTTCCAGCTTTTGCTCTAGGGGCTCAGGGAGAAGGCAGGGATAGGGGTCAAGCCCAGCCCTATGTCTGGCAATGCAAAAGGGAGTATGGGACCATGTACCGTTCTCTTCACTGGCCTTTGGGAGAAAGCCCAGATTTAAGCCCAGAGAATGGGTTTACAGGGAGTCTATGCATGCTGAGTAGATTCAGGTGGAATAGGGACCCTCAACAGCAGGACCTAGTGGACGCAGTGGTGGTGTGCCTGCAGCCTTTTAGGGGCCTAGAAGTTGCTCTGATTGCTGAGGTCCGAGTTGAGAGCAGGAGGGGTAAGGTCTGTTTTACTATGGTAACAGAATCTTAAAAGCGAGATGGGTTCTGCAGGCATTTGACCCTCTTAAAAATTCTTCCT